ATAGCCACTGAAGAGTGGATGGACAGACCGACTGGCTTTTAGGAGTCGAGATGCTAGTATCAATCAGCCAACTGACAAACTAATACTCATATTAATCCTATTAATGCTCTATCTTTGATATTGAGCACTTTATCGCAAAGACTGCTTGCCTTAAATGTCTTTTCTTTCAGTATCTCATTGGCTGACATAATTTTGGGCTTCATACTATCTTTGACATCGCTATATATATATATATATATATATATATATATATATATGTCTGTGTGTGTGTGTGTGTGTGTGTGTGCGTTCGCCTTTGTTTTGTGTCTATGTGCGTGCTTGCCTGCGTGTATGTGAATGTTTACATGTAACTGTATGTGCATATTCTAGTGTCCGTGTGTTTGTCTTTGCCTGCGTACATTCATGTTTATATAAGGGCGTAATATTAAAGAAATTACATGAAAAATATCCGTAAAAGTTTGTCCCTTTAAGTAACGCATTACCGGCGCACATAAAATATATAAATATGCATTCCTGGCCTGCTTAAATTATAAGAATATCAACTTCCTGTGGTACATAAAATGAGTAAATGATGCACTTCCGGTTAGGCATAAAATATATAAATATGCATTCCTGGCCTGCTTAAATTATAAGAATATCAACTTCCTGTGAAACATAAAATGTGTAAATGATGCACTTCCGGTTAGGCATAAAATATATAAATATGTACTTCCGGAAAAATATCAAAATATACACTTCCGGAAAAATTAGTAAATGACGCATTTCCGGCCATGCATGGCATATTTATAAATATGCATTTCCGGTCATGTACAAAATATAAATATATGCCCTTCCGGTAATGCATAAAAGAAATGTTGCACTTCCGGCCAGGCATAAAATAGGTGAATGGTGCTTATTAACAAACATTGCAGTAAGGCAGTCAGTGATGCAACCGAATTAAAAGTTTACAAAATGTGATAAAAGAAAATGCATTTTAATCGAAAAGATTGCAAACAATCGCACTTAACCAATGGTTACATTTTACCGCTGACTATTTTATTGTTTAATTTGTTTATATTCTCCCAAAACGGAAACAACATAAAAATGGTGTGTGTATATGTACGTATCGTACGCACTTGTATGCAGGTGGATGTCTACAGGTGTACAAATGAGTGCGCAACTCTATATGTATAAGGACAACACTCTCTATATATTATATAGACGTACACACATATAGTGTAGACATAGAAATCAACACTGCATAATGACAGGCAAGGTCACGTCGTAAGTGATCATTAGAGAGTCTGAAAGCGTGAAGCTCCAAATTTGCATGCAGTCTAAATTTCAATGCAAACTGTTTCCAATCTTGATCAATATCCCTCATAAATATAGCAAATTTATAAAATATAATTATATACATGCAAATTTGTATATCTGTGTGTAAATATATAGGTGTATTTATGCACATATATGTATGTGTATACACATATACATACACACACATATATATATATATATATATATATATATAACGATATGTATATATGTACATATACATAAGCATGTATAAACGAGTGTTATACATTCACAAGTAAAATGTACACTACTCGTTTATACATGATTATGCATATGTACACATGTGCATATCGTTATATATATATATATATATATATATATATATCATTGTGTCTGTTTGCTAGTATGTATGTACTTACTTATGTGGAAATATAGAAATGCGTGCATATATATATATATATATATATATATACCTTTTTTCATCCTCGGAAGTGTGGTCTGATGAACCAGGTAAAAACCACATACCTGGGTAAATAAATTATAACCAATGTACCTTTAAGGTAGTCTGTTTTCTATTTAAATTGTATTAATAATTGCACTGATTTGACATTGAGCTCTCTAGATTACATCCTCCTTGCGGTTATCCATACGGATTACCAAACTTTTCATTAATTAATCATATATATATATATATATATATGCATTTAAATTTAAATATATATATATATATATATATATATATATATATAATATATATATATATATATATATATAGAGAGAGAGAGAGAGAGAGACAGAGAGAGAGAGAGACAAAGACAAAAGTTTCGTTCTTTCAGGCTCCATTGGACTAAAGTGATATTTACATTGATGTAGCTTTACATGCACAAAAAAGAATGCCTTACAGTCCAATGTAGTTCTAAAACACACAACGGGTCACACGAAATCTTTTTATACTTCGACATATTTTTTCTTAAATTGTTCTTGATATATAAAAATTTATATATCGTTTTCCCATATATATATATATATATATATATATATATATATATATATATATATATATGAGATAACGATATATATTTCTTATATGTGAAGAACAATATAGAGAAAATGTATGACAAAGTGGAAAAGGTCTTCTTGTGACGCGTTTCTTCATTTAGGGCTAATTTTTTTTTTTTGTCGGTGCGACTACACATGCGCACGAATGAGGGATGCTGGGAATTTT